GTGCCGCCCGTAGTTTCAGGGCTGAGGGCAGCGCAAAACCGAACAGAAACACTAGGGTGCGTTGCACATAATATACTCCGGCCAGACAAGGTGCCTTAGGAACAAAGTGCACTCGGAGAAAGAGACCTAACTTCACATCCCTTTTGGAGCTATTGCCTTACGGAAACGCTGACGGGTTCCTACTTGGCCGCGAAAAGGATTCTGCCATATATGCTTGCAGCCTAAAGACCATAGACCCCAAATAACTTAATTTAGATCTTACTATAAGGACTCCTGACTCCGAACAAGGTACCTCGTAATGAATGGAAAATCCTTTGCTGTCTACTTCGAGATTTGTTCTGCGGGCATGGAGCTAGCATGCCCAAAATGCCCGGGCAGTAGAAGGACTTGTGGACAGGCCTTCTACTGTTGAGCCAAAAGTATGCGGGGCGATGTGTCGCCAGCCGGGGGTCCCGGAAGCCTCTTGGGTTTAGGGCTTGTGGAAAGCACGTTGTGGAAGAGAACTTTGTCTCGTGCTGCGCTTTTGCTACTACGGTTGATGATAGAAATTCTGCATTACCCATAACAAGGAATATACCATAGTTTAGGGTCCTTAAGGTAATGCAGGATTTATATCATTAACCGTACGTCCAAAAGGGGCGTTGGGCATCAGGGTTGAGGGTGATTAGAAACGAAGCTCTAGCGAGCTATCCTGAAGATGCACCGGAGGCCCCTGGTACTGAATCGCCCTTACAACGGGGCTTTAACAGCGAGAATAAGAAATCATGAGAAGGAGCCCTAACGAACGGTATTACGAATCATCCAGGCTTATAGACTACAGCCTAACCTCATGCCAGGACCAGCTGCCTTCACGAAGAGCTTTGAGTTTGGGGAAAGGCGTCAAGGGATGCTTTCGGGCTGAAAGTGGACACCGGAAAGTTGGAACATGAATTAACGGCAATTCGTGCTGGGATTCCGCATACTTTACATACGGGCATCAGGATAATGATTTTCCGACTTTCCGGCTCCTGTTGTAGGGTTTAGGTTTTGGGAGTTCATCTGGGAGCTTCAGAGATCTAGGATGCTTTCTTCAGGGGGAGGTCCTCATTACAAGGATCCTATTGTGTAGGGTTCTTCTCAGGGTCCATTCTTTTCTGAAGCTGCCATGTGAAGTGTCTAAAGAACATGGAGCATACTTTCCATTGAACTTGTGAGCCCCTCGCTACTAAAGGCTGTAAAGAAATGGCCGAGGCCCCTGACATAATGGGTTGCTGTTACGGAACTTAAATCAAGTCACAAGAAAAGGAAACACTATTATTTTCTTTAAATCACAGTTATGGCCACGTGAGTTAAGTTCATGAACAGCAACTCAGTATAACCACAACCCCAAAATCCCAAACCCGAAAACCTCTGGAGGTCCTATGGCTGCTTTTTTGAATGTACACAGACCAGACGGTCACAAAGAATGCTCTCGGAAGCTCGGCGGGGGCAGCAAGTCTGACATGTGTGCTTCCTGGCAACCAACCCTTACTTACTAACCTGCCGAGCTTCCTTTGTCGGGGTCCGTGCAGGGTGCGACTCGGTGCATACCTTCTGACTCCCAATCACCTTTTGAGGCTTCGCGCAAAAACTCTAATGATTCAGGTTCCCTGTGGTGTCTTCGAGCTTCTGCCCGGAATCGTCCTGCCGGCTGCACAACTTACCTGAGCAAAGACGATTGCAACTCTTGGAGTTGTGATCGCTTTCTGCTGGGAGTGCATCCGCACGTTTCGCCAGAGGGTCCACGGCCGTGTGGCTCCCAGGCCCTTGCACTATGACTAAACAACCACTTTCAACCCATTGGGGTGTAGGGGTGCAGCCGTTCGCAAAAACCTCATTCCTGGATCTGGCAATACGGGGGAATGAGAAACTCACAAATCACGACTCCGAAACCCGTCGTCCTCAACTTTGGACCGTCTCCAGCGTCGGATGCGGATTTGAAAACGACAAGACATCTGCATGTGGGTTTTGAGATTTCCTTGATCACATTTCCAGGGTCCTACAATTACAAGTAAGACTTTAATCGGATGATAGAGCTCCATGACATGATGGGGTCTGGATGGCCTGCGTACCTTAAGGCTATGATGGGGGATTAAGCGCCTCTTCTTGAGGCCATTAGATGGTAACAACAGCTTGCGCAGCTCCGGGATGAATCGACGGCCCGCACATCACTAACACCAAGAATAGCTCAGTGGCTAGTGCCGCGATTTGAGGGTCGAGGGTTGATTATGCCATGATGGCTGAAAGCTTCTCTGCAGCACCATGCTGCCAACCCGGTGTTCAGAATTCGGCAGGTGCAGGTCATCGGGTTTTGGACGGGCAGTAGACATTGCTCTTGTTGTTGTTCTTGTTGTTGTTGTTGGCGGTGGTGCCAGTGGCAGTGGCAGTGGCAGTGGCAGTCGTAGTTGTATTGCAGCAGCAGCAGCAGCAGCAGCAGCAGCAGTAATTGGCAGTAGCAGTAGCGGTAGCACTAGCAGTAGCACTTGCACTAGCAGAGGCAATAACAGTAGCAGTCGCAGGCACTGCTAGTGGTAGTGGTAGTCGTAGTCGTCGTCGTCGTCGTAGTAGTAGTAGTAGTCGTGGTGGTGGTGGTGGTAGCAGCAGCTGCAGCAAACGTGCAAAATCAGTAGCAGCACTGGCGGTAGTCGCCGTCGTCGACGATCGTAATGGAGTGGTGCGGTAGTGAGAGTATGGCAGTGGTAGCGGTAGTACCCAGAGCAAAAGGAGGAGGGGGAGGAGGACGAGAGGAGGAGGAGGCGAGGAGGAGGATGACAAGCAGAGAAAGCAGCGAACAGCATCAGCGGTTCGCGGCAGCAGGAGCAGAAACGAGCAGCTTTGGAAACAGTAGTAACGAATGTCGCGGGGAGAGGTGCCGTCGTCGTAATAATACCAAACATTGAAATCAATGGATGTCGCAGGCGAAAAAATTTCGGTGACAACATACGTGTTACATATGTTCCGGCTACGTTTTAAAGCCTCAAGCTGTGCAGCCCTATTGACCTAGGGGCCTTAACAGTTAGAATATAGGAGCCTTTACAATTAGAATTGGGTATTGGCCTATATCCCGACGAAGTATTCTATGCGATCCCCAGAGGGCTAGATCGCACAGCACATGTGCCACGATCTTCATTCGAGAGGATGAAACTATAACTACACTAAGGAACCCCAAAATTGTATTGCTAATGTTTCAGGCCTCCTTAGTATGCTTTGCCTGAGCTCAGACTGCGAATCGGGGCTCAATTCCTCCACGAAGCACGGGCGCAAACAATCGAAAGACGTAGGCTGCAGTTCGCTGGATCTGGGTTGAGGTATCAGGGTTTCTATCTTGAAGTGGCGGCATGGTCCACTTGGACTAACTAATCAGATAACTTATACATGTTTCAACACAACTTGTCCACAAGATGGAATGAACATGCACTTTCTTGATGCAAAAACAAACCTACCGCAATTGACAATCTAACATCATCATGCCAGAGGCAATGCTTGGAGAAGTACGGCCTGGCCAACACCCACGCCAAGCAAGCCAGTATAGCCTCCGGCATCGTATAGCCCTTCTCCAGCAACAGTGCCTCTAAAGCAGAAGCCCTCTAACAGATGACCACATGGAACAAGACCATCCCATCTACCTCATCACCACTACACAACAAACAGCTTTGTCGGGTGACCCCCTTGTCCGACAGGAAACCGTCTGCAACAGAAAGCCTGTCTGACAGAAGAGAGCATCAGAACATCACATCTACCACAAAATCGCATGTAATTGGGGTCACAATCTATCATGAGGTCGTCCACGACCACAGCCCACGCAGAACGACTCCGATCGGAGAGTACGCTTTGAGGAAACTGCGAAAGGAACCTGATATTTTCTGAGTTTCGGCATCTGTGTTGATGGTGTACTTCGCACAGACGGACTTAAAACCCATTTCAGCCCCGCAGCCGGTCAGACAACCTGAAACAATCGCCAGGCCCACTCATGAAACCCTACGCATTGCAAACGACTAGGCTCAACAGTAGCTATAAGCCCCGTTTATAACCGGGTGCCCAAACCCCAGCGAAGAAGGCGTCCGAACTGCCGATTGGTAAACAATGTAGGGTTTAGGTTTCAGTGTATATTGGCTCTTTACGAAACCTCGCTGTCACGCTTCGGGTGGCGGGCTTGGGGGTTCATGAACCCGGCTGAGCAAGGTCCATGACAGGCCGTGAAACTCCAGCACTTCTAAAGCCATGCGGAATCCCACACCCCAATCCAAACTACCTAGTGGCCAGCAGAATGGCTAAACAGGAGAAGATGTAGGAAAATAACACCTCTTCAACCCAAGAATTCCTTCCCCCGCCCCCCACACTTAAGTTCTCACACCTGCAGGAAGCCGATTCAAGGATCCCGTGTTGCTGATATGACCACCTTGACCTCCGAACATCCCATGAAGAGAAAACACACAAGCAGACAATGTCGTCTGCAGCACGATGGCTATGATACCTTATACTTAAATGATAGCGGGCAAATAGCCACGTCCTGAAATGAAAGACCTGAAAGTAAAACAAACAAACACACACACACACATTGTATATGTTGTAACACAAACCCATAGCTTCCCTTCGCCCGCACGGCTCACGCAGGTGGGGCCAGTGCCTCGTGACTGCTTCGACATGGGTAAGGGTACTGGATTTAGGGCCTGAAGGGCTGCTTCCACAGATGTTGGAGTCTTGGGTTTTTTGTGTTGGCTTTGTAGACTGCGTTTTCTCGAGATGCGTGCTCCCATGTCCAGGGTGCACACTTCCAGGGCGCTACAATGCTTAAGGGGCTGCGAAAGGGAAAGTCTTGCTACTAACTCAGACCTCTACTGCAGCATTGACCCAACAGGCGGCTGTCTGGCCAAAAGCCGATTTTGTGCAGGAAATGTTGGCTGCCTGACTGTGTTAATCGAAACAGTAAACCTAAACTCCACAGCCTAGACCCAAGAATCCTCCATTCCAGGTCGAGGTGCGGTCATTGTGGCCGTGTAGCCCCGCTGCTCCGTCTTCTGCACCATGCGATGGATGCGCTCACGGACGTTGACCTGACACCGGTTCAGCTTCGGATTCGGATTCAGGGCTGCGCTCCAGGCGCTGCTCTCGGTGCATGTATCGTGCCCTGCTTAGAGGCTTAGAGCGGATGTTCGAGCATTCCTCAGGTAGACCGAACATATCTCGGAGCAGCTTCATGAACTGAAGCGCAAAGCCACAATCCATAAACCCCTACAGTAGAAGCCCAGAAGTTTGGAACCCAATAGCCTCAAACGTTAGGAGTGATGTATAGGGAGTCCCATCACGAACTCCGTAATCCGGCTTCCAACTTTTTGGGGTGTACTACATGTTGATGTCTTCTCGTCGGTGCAAGGATGACCTTAGCCGCCTTAGCCCTGAACTGCGGAATACTCAATGCGATTATTCCTTAGGGTTCCTCAATACAACTATACTGTAGTGTCAGATTCCCCGGCACTATACTGCAATACCCAGGGTTCCCTGATATAAGTATACTAGACTATCAGGTTCCTTGAAACAACTGTGCCCCTACGCCCCTAAACCGAAAAGCCCTTAAACCCTATATACCCTTATGCCCCTAAGCCCTAAACCCTAAATCCTCAAGCCCCTCAACCCCAGAGCCCTCTTTGGAAGGCGCTACAGCCTAAATCCCAAAGCTCCATAGGGCCCCCGCCTGCTCCTCTAAGCTTGGCTTCAGGAGGGTGCCTTCGATCCACTTGTCCATCCAAATATTCGCATTGTCCTGACAAGCAAAACTTGATGTATATATAGTACGCTACAGCATCGTATTTCCAACTTCATTGTATTGTTGCAATAGTACAATGCATTGTGTTATAGTGTAGTACATTGTTTTATTCTATGTTATACGTATTCTATCATACCTGCGTGTGAATTGACAACCATATTCTATGCTATTCTATTGTATTCTATTCCATTCTATTCCATTCTAATCTATTCTATTCTATTATAAGGAAATATCATATTCTACTATATTATATTGCATTACTATTCAAGTCATTGCATTCTATTATAGTATATGATATTTTATAGTATGATACCAAATTATTCTAGGGAAGGGATGTTTGCAATAAGGCAATCCTGGCAAGGCCCTCGGGCAACAATTGAGGATTTGGCCTGGCGTGATACAGTAGCTGCGACCGAATCCCTTCCTCATGTGCAAGCAGGGTATTCCAGGAAGCTTCCGCAGGATTTCGCATCTCTCCAAACCCCTTGTAACAACCCTATGAAACCCTGCCAGGGTGGATAAACCCCAAACCCTTGACCCCTAAACCCCAAGCCCTGTCCAGGATCATCTGGTTGCTGAACCAAAGGGGTGGCAGAACACGCGCCTGGGATCTTCTGGATTTCGGGCTGAAGGGAGCTTCTGTTTGGGGCTTGGCTAGTAGGCTTTCTTGACAATGCATGCTTTGTTCTTGAAGGGGGTTCTGTAAGGTTTGTATAATTGGGCTTCTATCGTTTCAAACCGTTTCATAAACTTTAATGTTTGTCTGTTTTGTGGTGGACTTTCCATGGATTCCGGGCTTGGGGGCGTGGTGTCTTTGTTTGCAGTGTTGGGGCTTTGGTTGGACATGCCATGAGGGCCTCAATCACCTTAGGGTTCCCTGGTTGTAGTACTCTTGGATCTAGGGTCGATCCGGGTGGCTGCTGTGCTCGAGTTTAGGGTTTTTACCACACCCCGGACCCCAAAAACCCTGTTCTAGTCAGTAAGGCTGCTACACCCTTAAGCCCCCAATAGTAACCTGTAACTATAGAAGCCCTGCGAAACAACCCTTTTGTGAGCATAGCTCAAGGCCCTGTTCACCTTGTTCAGGTCCCAACCGCCTGAAACCCCAATACTCCAATGAGTAAACCTTAGATAATAAACCCTTTAAGCGCTCCCTTGATGGTTCAAGGAAGACTGTTGAAATTATTGAGGCGCCAAAAAGGCTTTGTGGGTCCGAATAAGATCCTCAGGATCTCGCCAGCGAGAGAGCCAGCGGCGCCACAACGAACTCAATGAAGCCAATCTGCGAGGAGTGCTCATGAAAGAACTGTAGGGTTTAGGGCTAAAGGGAGTGCTTACTGGGTTCGATGCTTTATGGTTTGGGTTTGAAGGTTGTCAAGGTTGTGAACTTGGGCCTTGGGGCTTGAGAGCTATGGGTTTTGGGGTCGTTATGTTTTTGAGCTCTCGGGTGTTGCGTTTCGGGTTTCAAGGCTGGCCTAGGGCCCAGACCCTTAAAACCCAAAGCCTGAATCTCCGACTCCTACTCAGTTTACCGTGGCATCCTGCACCACTAGACACAAGCCTCAGAATCTGAGAGGCTGTATAAAGGGCCCAGTACTCATTGGAACATGGGTCTGGGGTACCTTGTGGCATAGTATGCAGGGACTATATGGGAATAAGCCCAACAGCCTGAGAATCTAAATCCTTGACCCCTAAACTCGATGCGGCCATTCCCCACGGGACAGCAGACCCTGAACCTCACTCAACGACCGCACAGCCCTCGAATGGCTCGTGTGGGAAGTCGAGCGATGGGGCCAAACCCTTCAACTAGTTTGAAGACAGATGCTGTGATAGTAACTCATTGAAACTGTATATAACCAGCCCTTCAAACTCACAAAATCCTTACTTGCAGGATCAGCTGACTCAGCAAGTAAGGCTATAAGTACCATCGCTCATTCAGTTTATAGTCGTCATCAATAAGTTACCTTAGTTACAATCCTTGACAAGCCCGCAAGCCCTGCACCACACAGCCTGCGACAGAGGCGTGTTCACCGTGTCTCTGTCATTCAGCGGCCCCATCGGAATGCCCAAAGCCTCACATCAGGGCGCAGTTTTCGGAAGGGCGAGGAGAAGAACCATGTGGAATTGCCCAAGTTCCATGCCGGAGGGGGTTTGTGTTTGAGCCCCGTGGGGCCTCGGCTCAGGGTTGATGAAGCTATAAGACTTTGCGAAAGTCTGGGAGTGCAGACCCATACACAAATACGATTCAGGGCGACAGGGCTGCAAGATGCTGTATGTTCTAATGTCAGCTCTAGTTTAACATACCCTGAGACATCAGCTTTGAAAGGTATTCTCCCGCGCCCTTTGCTGGTGTCCGGTGCGCTGCGGACGAGCAAGCACCGCAGCAACAAGGTGGGTGCTCCTTTAGCACGCACCGCTTTAGAAGAGCCGCTGGCAACATCTGAGGCATGTTTCATCCAGCACATATGCAAGCCTCCTGCAGTCTTTTGTAATTATGTCTCTCGCCAAGGATGAAGGGTGCTCATTTGCTTGGTCCAGGATTTGGTTTGAAGGACTTAGGTCTTAGGGTTTTAATGTCTTATTACAAACTCAGTGCCAACGAGAACACGGCCATCAGTATAAACACCGACGCACCAGCATCCTCATCACCATCATCACCGCCACCCCACCATCATCATTATCATCTCCCCATCTTCTGCACTTTCACCACCATCTGAGCAGCACGCACATATGTGAATGCAATATCACCTTGAGACGACGAAAAGTTTTTGAGAACTTATATATTGGCGACAGGAGCAACATGGTTGGGTGGCCATGTTTGGACGAGCAATCGTGACGACAATGGAACTTCAGACTTGCAACTAAGGCCGAAGTCCAAAAGCTGATCCCGATTAAACTTCCAACCTCGGAGTCGGAAGTCTCGAGCCTTGGAGCTTCTGCGTCCTAAGGCCTTATAACCAGGACCCTCCGTGTACCCTCAATTAGGAGCACATGGCCCCAAATAATGGTGATTTAGGGTCTAATGGAGGGTCTCCAAACTCCTGCGTCCTCGGGTCCTACACGCCCTGCGACCCTCAAAGACGTGCTCAGCCGCTAAGCCCAAGAAACTCTTTGCTCCGGCTCCCGGCCAGAGATCGCCCGACGAGCCCGACATCCCTCAATCCTAGCCGAGGCCGAAGGCCCTCTGCGCGCCTTCTCCTCGTCTCCCTGGAGAGCGAACTCCTCCAACACCAAAGCCGCCCACTTCTCTGCAATGGGGAACGGCCTCTGTCTAAGGCTTAGCATGAAGCATTGTGGGCACAGGGTGTGGGGGTGTTCGAGCAAATAATACGTGGGGCTTTGTGCTGTGGCTTTTTGCATCGGGTTTGCCGACTAGGGTTTCACGTCACAAATATTCTCCGAATGGCATGAGACCTGAAACCTTATACAGCTTAGGGCTTGCTGTTCCGGGCTCCTCTTGCACAGGAGCGCACTAAGATACGGACTCCTACAAGCCACCCTAGTTTAGTTTCGTTACTCTCTCGGAGACAGTGGCTTGCCCTAGGAGCCGGGATTGGTGCTTATGACTTGGGCTTTTGAACATTGGCTTGGAGCTGTACATCTTCAGGGTTTTGGGCAGTGGGTTTTGGGATTTGTCGCTTCACGAGCTTTAGATCATGGAGGCCAACAAATTACGGCTTAAAGGCTACGATGAGGGTTGCTGTTAGGGTTACTACAAGAGGTACCATAAAGAGTTTAAGATGGTTTAAGATGGTTGCTATAAGGCTTTACAGTTGAGGGCTGGGGGTTCGGACCTCGACTATCATGAGCCCTCAGTAGGGATCCCCAAACAACTCAAAAGGGATCCCAGATGTTCAGCAACACACCCCCTCTCTCGGTTCCCTGCTTCATGGGGTTCGAGATGTCGCTGAAGTGAAGCAAGACAGTCCTGTGGTTGAAGGGTTCAGGAGGAATTTTCAGCTTAGGGCCAGGGCTTTCATGGTTCCCTGCTTTCGGTGTCAGACTTTGCTTTGGCTTTGCTCGGGTTGCCAGCACCAGGTGCGCCCGCTTCCGGCACTAGAGCAGCCCGTCAGTATAAACCACAGGAGGCTCAGAGCTCAGAGAGGAGTGCCTTGAGGGCTCTCGAGCCGACCCCCTGCCGGCGTCCTCAGGCTTTTCTTGACGTCGGCCGTCTTGAAATACTCCAGCAGCTCATTTGGAGGGAACTCGTCCATGGTCATGTACCTCGTCACCGGATGTACGGTGGAAGCTGCGGAGTCTAGGCAGTGTGTCGGTGCTAGGGTTTCGGGTGCAAGTCTAGCTAGCATTAACCTAGGTCCGCATTCTGAGCTGGGATTCCCTCTTGTGGGCGTTCCAAGCCGTAATTAACTTGAATGAGTTTGTACAGGCACAGGGACTTCACATTGGTCTCATTCTTAGTAACAACCCTAGCTGATTCAGGGCAGGTGTAGGTGCAACTGAAACGACCATCATGTCCATTTTCGGCTCGACGTCACCCAGACGACAGGAAGCCGACCGCAAACCCCAAACCCCACACCGAAAATGTTGCACCCATATGGCACGACGACAGTATTTACAAGAGAGGAGGAACAAAGAGGACAAGCCTATACTGTTGGGCAGGGCAGGGTTATGTAGCTTTGCCTGAAAGGCTCAAGGCCCCTAAACCCTAAACCCCCGAACACTGGGGTCTCAGCATCTCATCAGCCATGTCAAAGAGCTCCGCGTTCACGCCATACATGGACTCGAACTCCTGTTGCCGCTGAGCGCCCTCAAGGTTCGCTCTTAAGGTGTTCATGCCGATCTTCACTGCAAGGTTCATGGTTTTTGATCATCTGAGTAGGTGTTGTGGTTGGTCCTGGAGAGGAGCCTGAGGTGATTACATTGATTACATTTAACAAAGCCCCGCTGCATCATCATACGTTTTCGTTGGGCAGTGAGCAAGGTAGTTCCGAGCAGCTCATTCTAGGCTTCCACTGCTGCAGACCAAGAGGCCCTTGGCTACCAGGGCTTTGTGTCCAGAGTCCAGAGTAATTACAGGATTCCGGTGATCCTTCGTAGCGTGCGTACATAGGAGAAGTGGGTTCAATGGAACAAATGGTTGTACAGGGGATGGAACGGAAGAGTTCTCCAGCATGGAGTGTGCTGCACGAAATTCTAACAACTCTGCGTGTCTGGCTTCTGTCAAGGACCATGTATAGACATCCAACGAGTTGATACGTAACCAATAACCGGCCATCGTGCTTAACGACTTCTCAGAAACCCTAAACCCAAAGCGACGCGCAGAGTGCTGTGCACGAAGCGAGGTTGCGCAGCTGCATTCTGCAACAACCTGTACGTACTTTGCCTCGCGCACAAATGCATCGTGCAACTAAGTTTTGAACCTCTTCGGCGACTCTTCTGCCAAGGAAGAGACTCATGGCGCTGCAGGATTAACGCGTGCATACACGCACATATACACAAGCTCACTCAATATGGGGCTCGATCCATTGACATGCTCGCAACACCGGAGCATTCACAGCGGTTCCCGATGGATTCGAATGTTACTGACACCACTTGCCAAAAATTCCCAAACCCGAACCCACAAATCCCTAACTCGGCCATCCGGGTCCTTCACCATGCCGGTGTGTTGCTGGCGCAGTGTTAGACTTCGCTCCCCCTCTCTCTCTCTCTCTCTCTCTCTCTCTCTCTCGCTCGCTGGCTCGCTCTCACCTACAACCCTACTAGGGTTCGGCTTGGGCTACTGTAATCCTCCAGCCCTGCCGTACAGGGCAGGGCGCTAAACATCCACAAGCCAGAAGCCGCAGCCTGGGAAAGCCTCCCGGCTTCCTGGTAAACTGAGCCTTTGGGTGTCACCTCGAGTCCTGACTCCTTTCTTGTTTCCAATCATTCTATCATGACCATCTTTGCTTGATTCCTGCTTGATAGTCTTCTTGTCTTTGTATTCATGAGCTAGCAGAGTTGGATGAAGGTCTTTGGGCGGGGTCTTAGCTGAGACCGATGGTTGTAGGAAATGCAAGCTGCTCAGGGCTGATGATCCGGAAGTCCTTATACTCCGAGGTTCCTAGATTCACTGTGTAGTACAGCCTGGGGTACAACACAGCCAACGCCTGCCAAACCAACATATCTAGAGCACACACTTAAACAGCCTGAACAGCCTAAGCATCCAGCGCCCGATAAGGAAACTGCGTCGGGAACACCGCAAAGTCTGTGGCCAAGATCGCATCGACGATGACGTGGCGGATGTGGTTGTAGATGGGCTGAGGAGACTTCAGTTTAGGCTGCAGCTGGTATCTACCCGCCAGTGTCTACAGTCTCGTTAGTGCAACACCCTCAGCCACTGTAAACCTTGGGGCAAGCCCTGGCATGAATGGCGCCCGAATAGTTCCATAACAGGAAGAAGAGCAATCAGAACTTCAATGATGAGCCGCTGAAAGAGAGCACGTGCCAAGGCCTCAAAGACTGCTCGCCTACATGCAGGCTCTTCTGGCCCAGTAAATATGAGCAGGGTACTGAGCCAACAGAGCTCCGAACCCTTCAACCTTTAAAGGATCCGTCAAAGGAGCCCTTAAAGGTATGAAGTCCAAAAAAGACTAGAATCTTTCAGATATGCCGTAGTGTACGTAAACAGATATTAACAAGATGGTGAGACCATGACCGATTGTCCAGAGCGCGATATTGTTGCAGCCCACATAGAAGCCTTATCGAAACCTTCATTTAACGCATAGGCATAGAATGGCACAGAAGTCGTTGGTGAAGCTCTCATACACAGCAAGCCTCGCTAAGCTCAGAGAGAATGTTCATCTTGTCCTGGCTCCGGGCTCAGGATTTCGGGTAGGAGCGGTTTACAGGCTCAGGGCTTTGGGTAGGGCTAAGTGACCTGACCGGTTTAGTGAGGGTTTTGGGGAAAAGCTTCTTGCGGAACACCAGTTTCCAGTGCAGCACCATCAGCTACGGCCACAAAGCCGCCCAAGGAGATGACGGGTCTATGTGGGGCTTGCGTGTTCGAGGCTCGGAAGCTTAGGGGATTAAGGATTGGAGTTCGGGATGTAGGGTTCAGAGACCCTTGAGTGCATTCACCCAAAGGCCAGCAAGCTGCCAATCGCCATCCGAAGCCCCCTGTGAAACCCAGAGCCCGCACAATCCCAGCACTTGCAGACCGCCTGGGACAGAATCTGAAACAGAAGGCTGCAGTGCATGTTCTCGAGGATTGCGATGTCCTTGATCTCCCAAGGCATTTTACCATCGGGTCTGGTGGTGTGGGCTTGTTTTTTTTGGGGTTTGGGGTCTAGGCTTGGGCACCCGTTTCAAGGATGGGCTGATGCTTGAACGCCAAGCTTCCATGGTACCCCTGAACCCTCCTCCTGCCGAGCTTCCCGCGGACCAAGAGAAGTAGAACGAAGGCAGAAGAAGACCCCAGCCAACCGGGAGACTGGGAGACTTGTCCCAAATACTCCGAAGAAACCCCGCGCCACCGAAACAAAGCAGCGTACCCCGGCTTCGAACAGACCTGGACTAGGGAGACTGTAGAAGCCCAACCCGAATGCCACAATCTATAATCTGCAGTGTAAGTGCAAGCACTTGTTGACAAAACAACCTCCTTGAACAACGACAATCAGCACCAGCGCCGTCACGATATCAAGGCACTACAGCACGGGAGTTTGGTCGCTTCCCTTGAGAGACTCTACGCAACTGCGAGCTCAGGTAGCAGCATTGTATCGGATGGCTAGCTCGTGGCCAATCCTGGGAAAAGCAGTGGTTGTACATAAGCTCTGCAAGGTTTGCAGGAATCACCGTACCACCGTACCACACGATCAAGTGGATGCGCTAAGCCGGGGCTTGGCGTTTGGGGCGTGCCTTTCTCGAAAGCTTCGAAACTTGTCGGCCTTGTGTTTAATGCATTGTTTGGGGGTGCAGAACTGCCCAAACCCTAAGCTTAGACCTACATGTCACACTGAAAGGGTTCTCCTGAAGTCCAAGCCTTGCAACACCATCTGGAAATCTAGGATCCAGCAGTCCAGACAACCAGACCAGCATGACCAGCAGCAGTGACTGGCAAAAGCTCATCAACCTTCAGATGACCAAATGTGAAGCAGATCTGAACTCCCTTGAAACCCAAATTTCAAAACTATTGCGCGTGGCACATGTGTGGTATGGAATTTCGGCAACACCAAAAACTTCTTGCGCCCTGGAACCGCCGTAGTAGGAGCCTTATTATACTTAAGCACCAAAACATAACATCGTAGTCAGTATAGAGAAAAGCCATAATCCAAAACAATCAAGAAAGTGAGAACGTAACCGGAGCCTTACCACTTTAGCAACAAGGCCAAACTGAGATACCTCCAAATAGCAAGCCCTGCAAAGCCCTATCTAAGGCCCTGGCTCCACCAAGAAGACGTTGCTGCGTCCCCGGTGGCCTTAGACACTCGGCCGCGCTCCAGGCGTTGGAAGCGGAGGATGGGGGTCAGGGCTTTCGATGGGGGTATAGGGGATTGAAGCAGCGCATGCGGGGTTTCGGGGCGTCAGCGGCTTCTTTTGGGTTTGTTTGGGGTGTAGAGGAAAGACATTGTACTATTCGGTGTTCAAGGAGTTCAGGTTCATGGCTCTAAGAATATAGGGTCTCAAATGTTCAGGTCTCAGGATGTTGAAGGATCAAGGATGTAAAGCTTGGGATCGATGATCTTCTGCAGCTTCAGGTATCTGTCTGCACTCGCTTCATGGTCTGACTGTGCTGTGTCGGGGCTTAGAACACTTTGGTGAAGGCTGGGCTAACCGGGCCTAGACTTTCAAGTCCGCAGATAAGAGGAGGATTTGGACTTAGTTAGATGCGTTGCTCCAGAACTCGAATGAATTTAAAATCCTCTACGGCAGGCATTGTATGTATGTATGCATTCATGCATGCATGCATGTATGCATGTATGGGACCCCACAGCGGCTCTGATGCTTTCGTGAGGTCACGGGGTAGCTGCGGATGAATGAATGCATGAATCAATGAATGAATGAACGAAATGAAAGGATGTATGAAGGAATGCATGCATGAATTACTGAATGAATGAATGAATGAATGAATGGGTGAGTGAGTGAGTGAACGAACGAGTTGGTGAATGATTGAGTGAGTGAATGAATGAGTGACTGTGACTGGGTGTATGAATGTATCAATGTATGTACGTACATACGTACGCATGTATATATGTATGTATGCATGCATGGATGGGTGGATGGATGGTTGTATGTATGTATGTATGTATGTATGTATGTATGTATGTATGTATGTATGTGTGTAGGTATGTATGTAGTGTGTGTATATACATGATATGTGCGTCTACGCAGGTACTTATTGTAGGTGTGCGTGTGTATCTAAATGAATGAACAAACAAATCATACAAACAGGTATATGCACGTACGTACAGACATATTAATTACGATATGCACACATATCTCGCTGAGGACGAGCTTGGGATTTCGAGAGTGCAAGGACTTGCCGCCCTCAGGTTTAGTGTGTGGCTCTGTATTCTTGCTGCTACCGTTCTTAGAGGAAACAGGGTTGTTGATCAGGGGTCCACTCTAAATCCTCAAGCTTACTACCTCTCTTGGCTTCTATATGGTACCTGGAACCATGGTGCACCACGCCCTAAACATTAATTGCGCAAAAATAAGACCTTAAACACTCATTCCTGCAGCCCAGCCCCTCATAAGAACCCAGGCAGGTACACCGCCTTTAAGACTCTAGTAAGCCGTATAGAACTCGACGATACCCCAAGCTCATACAATTAAGAATCAGTTTTGCAAAACCTCGAGCATCGCGTCTGTTACCCGTAACAG